TTCCATAGCTGATGTGCATGACATGGACATGGGTGGCCAGAGGTATTTCCTTGGCAACAAGTTGAGGCACTCTGTTCCCTTGGTGATGATGCATCCAGCTGAGTATAAAGCAGACCGAACTGCAGAATGGACTGGAGTAGATCCACCTGACCTGCCTACGTCACTGTAGGCCTGACCCGTGATTGATTCAAAACTAAGAGCTGCCATGTTTACACTGTGATGCCACAAGAAATTTAAAACAGTGAAAGGAAATCCTTTTCAAACAGTGAACTATTAGCCAGTGGAGCTCATTGCCAAAAGACAGTGTTGGAATCAAAAGTTAACCATGATTCAAAACTAGTGGAACAATTAGGCCCTGCTGCAGCAAAGCACTGAAGTAAATGCTTAAATTTAAGGCAGTACTTCCCTTCCCCCATCTCCCTGATTCAAGTGCCATTGATCCTTCTTCTTATTTACAGAACACAATTCACCCCCCTGGTGCAATACAGCGGAGTATTAATGGAAAGCAATAATGACATCACAACAGCTCTTTCAATTGGTGAACCAGCTGAGGTACAGGCAGTCCAATTGCAGACTTACGATGCAATTGGTTCCTGAAAACTGTGTCTTAAGTGAAAACATAACTCGGAACCAATTTTCCCATAGGAGCAGTGTTACAAATGGGGGATTGGTTCCTTTACGATGGGTGATACAGTTGTATGCAGCTGGTAAGTGTGTTGTGATGGAAGGGGTGGGTGGGGGGGCGCAGATCAATGCCCCCCGTGGTGAGGGAGGGACTGGGCTGGGACCGGGGCCAGGCAGGCGCAGGGTGGGGAGGCAGTGGCTTCTGCTCATCTGGTAGTTCGACTGACAGTTCCTGCTGCTGCTTCTGCCACTGGTCTGAGAGGGCATGGAGGGACATGTGCTCCCGGATCAGCATGGTGCGGGGCGGGAGGGGCCAGGGCTGCACCAGACTGCACTCTGGGCAGGTGGTGGCAGCGCTGGAAATGGTGCCTATGCCCTCCCTCTACTTGCCCAGCCAGGGCAGGGTGGGCACAGGACAGAGCCACTGCGCTGCCTCCAGACAAGCGGCATGCAGTGGCAGGAGATGCACCCCCTGTTCAAGCCAGGGTTTGTCCTGTACCTGCCCTGCCCCAGCTGGGCAAATGAAAGGAGGGCATGGAGGGAGTGCACCCCCAGATGGGGGCGGGGTGGTTGGCAGAGCGGGGCCTATGGGGGGCTGCAGCCACCCATACATT